TAAAGGAGATTTCGTGACATTGGTGACGACCGCCGTCAGAGGCCTTCAGATTTTGCATGAACATTTTGATTTACCGTCTGTCTCTTGTTTGACCCGACTACTTTGTTGGTGGTAATCAGAAGTGGGTTCCTCACGTAAAGTCGGAAGCGCCAGTGGCCCAGACGCGTAGATCCGAGGATTCCAGCGCCGATTCCAGCACTGCAACCTGAGAGGTAACTTTCAGAATTGATGAAGCTCCAAGCGGTTCGTTCACTGACAGCTCCTACCAAAGAACTGCACTGCTATTGTTGAACCATAATATGGGCAAATGGATGGGTTCGCCGACACTATGCTCTAAAACCATGGAAAAGTTTACTTTGCCTAGACAAGGCTCGTTAACGAATTTAGATGAAGGTTCAACAAAAGTTTGCCACAGAACCTCGTCATTCGATTCCAAGAAGTCCCGAGACCGGTAAAAAAAGGATCGAGTCCGACAGCGAAAGGAAAGCCAACTGCCATTGGTGGGTGGGGCGTGCAATCAATGTGGGCGTAGTTTGTCCCGAACTTGTAATTTGGTTCCGAAGTCCCAGAGACCGAGAAAAAAGTGGATAGAGGTCGGCGATGGTAACAAGGTTAACTGCTGTTAATGGAACGTGCACCGGAGTGGGCGGAGTTCGCCACAAAACTTCATAATTCGGTTTCAAGAAGTCATGGAAAATCGGGAAAAAAGCGGATAGAGGTTGGCGAAGGGGAGGAGGTTGAGTGCCTTGGCAGACGAGGCTTGCACCCGAGTGGGCGGAGTTTGCCGCCGGACTTACAGCTTGGATCCAAGTGGTCCCGGAAACCAGGAAAAAGTGGATAGGCCGGCGATGGAGAGGAAACCAATTTTTATTGTTTGGTGAGGCATTCACCAAGTAGACTTATAACTCGGATCCAAGTGGTCCCGGAAACCGAAAGGAAATGAATAGAGGCCGACGAAGGGAAGAAAGTGAACTTCCGATGGTGGGCGGAGCATGCACCAAAATGGGCGCGGTTTGCCGCCAAGCATATAAATCGCTCAGAGACCGGGAAAAACGTGGGAGAGAATGGCGAGGAAGAAATGGGTGGTTGGAGTTTACCGCAGGATTTATAAATCGGAATATTTTGTGGAGTTCTTGAAGCAGCAGTATGCAATCTTGTTCCCATCATAGCATCACTTTCCTTTGGATTCAACTTGACGGAACAAAACTACCTTGTGGCATGAAGCTTACAGATTTGATGGAAGGGTAGACATACTTTCTCACTACAAACTCTCTCAAGGAATTAGTTTGAAACCTTTTTGCATTTAAAAAAGTACTTTTAATGGAACCGTAGCTTAACGTCAGTGCGTCAAAATTATGTTGAAAGCCACAGGTAAATCAGGTATATACATCGATACAAGCAAGCAGACATGAGGAACTTATTAAATTTATTAGAATTCTGTGTACATGTCTATCAACTGAGCTTTTGAGGTAGACACAAATTATTAAAGATTAGAATGGCACAATCCAGTCGGCATTTGTCTCCGGTGCAACCACAGACACTTTTCTTGGATTGACAAACTTCGGTAATCGAGATGAGACGGGCGAAAGACTTCTCGAGGAGTCACTGAAATAAATAGGACAATCAGGGGAGTCTTCACCAACGTTGTGAAACTTGTGCTGGTATCTGCCTACACTAATTCGTCTGCTATGCGAGCTGACTTGTCTGTCCAGAGTGGGGCAAAATTACTGGTGCACCACTATTTCACTGGCATTTCGGACTTGCTCGCAGAAATCGAATCTCATCATGAATATTGTTTGAAGAAAAGATGACATCCAAAATATGTCAGCGTTCTCAAAATGATCGCATTCACCTCTGACCTTCACGTAGTCTTTCGGACGTTCGGCAAACGCATCGATGCGGCATGAGATAATTTCTCATCAATTCGTTCCAGGATTCAAGCGCGAAGTTATCAGAGTCTAGATTTGGAGTTCTGATAGACGGACCGTCCTCCTCTCCAAAGATGGCCGACCTACTGTGAAATAATCGATCTTAATCCGAGAACTGTGCTCAGCGCTCGTTTGGCTGATGAAAGCTGGGGATGTGCTCCAGCTGCCACTATTCCTAGATCACCCTCCTCGTCAGCGTGAAGTCAAACCCGTGCCCGACACGAAGACACGCTCATGGTTCTGAACAAACATCGAGTTTGAGCGCTATCTAAACAAACTTGGAAATTTGAGAACTTAGCGTGAATGCGTTCAACGATAGGCCCTCGATGATGGTTTGATGGTTACAGCTTCGCGAACCAGTCGGAAGGCCGAACACTTTGTAATAAGTGTGCGCATTAGTTGTGGATGTTCAAGCAACATATCATGAGTGAGTCGAACGGAAAAGCTAAATAAGAAGTGGAAAAGCCCAAATTACGTAGGTGCACCAGTATTTTGCCTCACCCTGTGATTGGCTCTCGACAGCTCTCAGCTAACTTTATAAAGACCTAGTCAAGTCTTAAGGATAAAACACAAGACAGGGTCTCATCCAGTATGGGGGGCATAGCGGTCTAGAGCATTTTCAAGCTGTGGAACCTCTATTTTCGGGTCTCATCCAGTAAGGGGGCATCAAGTGGCTGCCCTCACCCCCCCCCCCTAGACTGCCTACACTCCCCCTGGCGCACAGGTTTCTCGAAGTACGGGACCCCGTGAGCCAGGGGGAGTGAAGGCAGTCTAGGGGGTGGGGGTGAGGGCAGCCACTTGACGTTGCATCACAATGCCCCCCCCCCTTACTGGATGAGACCCTTATTTTATTGTAGACGTTCAGGACTAAGCCTAGAAGGGAAGGAGCCCCGGATCCGTGAGCAATCTTGGCTTTCCCCGGGGGACTTCCTCCCCCTCCTAGGCTTAGTCCTGACCTGCTAACTAGGTGAATTTCACTTCTCGTAGACGTTAATGTCATCTAGTACAAGAATACATACATTACACAAAACACCTGAAGAAATAACATAGGAAAAAAGCTGATAGCAGCTCGTAACTTTAAAGGACTCCTTGAGCCAAATTGGCATTAGAGCAGACCGTGCACCGCAATGCCCCCTCTTACCGGATGAGACCCCAAAAATACAAATGAGGGACGCAAGAATTGCTCTCCAACTCTCGAGATTAGTATCAATTCACCCAGCAAATCGTGGATAGCGAGATGAAGGGGGGGGGGTACCAACTCTTTTAGATCCAGTTCTTTTTTGGAACAATCCGAACAGCAATTTCCGAACAAGATCACAGAAGACAATGCAGGGCTTCATGGCGCGCAACATCTTCGTTATGATTTGGTATAACCGAGACAACACTTGTTTGAACCCCAACCCGACCAAGCCAGAGTCATTTAGTTGTCAATCAAGCTAGATCAGGTACCGAATACGGCGTCACGTAGTCCTATTCATATCAGGCTCCCTTCCAAATGTATCATACTCTGGGCAGGGGTGACATGAAAAGGTGAAGCTCTGATGGTTCTTACTGAGAGGATTGTGATAAAAGCACTGGGGCCGGGTGCAGCAAGCCCCAACTAGGGGAGGGATCCCCAACCTTGGGGACATATCCCCAACCTTGGGGACACATCCCCAACCTTGGGGATATATCCCCAACCTTGGGGATATATCCCCAACCTTGGGGATCCCTCCCCTCACCCAACGAGGGGAGGGATCCCCAACCTTGGGGATATATCCCCAACCTTGGGGATACATCCCCAACCTTGGGGATACATCCCCAACCTTGGGGACATATCCCCATCCTCGACATTCTACGAATCGTTCAAGGGTTTCGTCGCAGGACCCAGGGCTTCCGCATCTCGAAGGCTCACGGACCATTAATGTTTCGTAGCACTATGGCAGTTTCGAAATACAATGGCACGGCACACATAGGAACCGTTACTATCTCTTCACTTCGTGGCTCTTACGAAATACAGTGGCAAATGGTCTTGGAGGCTGAGCGCCTCTTTCACATCGTTAACCATTTTTCTTCAATTGCCTTTCCCTCTTTTTTTTTGATTCTGTGGTTTCTTCTGGCTCAGTGTGGCCCCGTGAATGGTGTCAGATTCACGGAAACGCTCAGTTTTGGGGCTGACCCTTAGAGGAGAAGAGATAATCCGAAGTGTCTAAGCAGTCTTCCTTCTCAAGCTCTGCCTTCTCCCTTCTCACGTTGAACAAACTGCATCGTGATGCCCCCTAACTAGAATATACCCCGCCAATTTTCGCCGAACTTCTAAAATTCCCTTTTTTAGCGCAACGAGCGGTGGATCCCGCGCCACGCCCTCCTCTCGCAGAGGCACATTGAGCCTTTCCTAGGCACTGTTCACACATTGCGCCACAGCCGAATGACGCTCAAAACGAACGAATCTGCGCAAATGCGAAATGAATGAAATGCGTATCGATCTACAAAATGGGAGGAGCATCGAATCGCGCAAAATCTGCGAATCCTTTTAAAAGAAATGGGTGTCTATCGACCGAGTCAATCGGAGATCGACAGCGCGAAACGGCGGTGCAAAAATCCTCCAGCAACGCTAATACAGCGTGCTCTACAATGTCGACACGCATTTAATCCTTTTCGCATCTGCTTTCGCGCGTGCGCAGATTCTTAACCCTTTCGGACCTGAATTTTTCCCCGTGGAGAAATTTTCTTCTAGCTATTGTTTATTACTTGTGAGCATATAGGTATCATTATGGCGAAATTTGGAAGCTATTCGATCACAAACAAAGAAACTAAGAAGCTTTGAAAATTGGCCCACCTTCTTAGTTTTTAAGCTTATGTCGAAACAATTCGAAGTTTCATAGTTATGCCGAAAAAGTTTATAATCTTGCATAACATTATAACCCATAATTTTGATTTAGGAATGGATCCACTTCAAGTATTTTAAGACAAAGTCACACTTACTTGGCCGGTTGCGGGGGTCAGCGCCCATTCACTGTTGCACTTGTACACAAATACTTGCAATACTAACAGCAATAAACAATGAAATGGCCGGTTAAGCTCATAATTAGGAAGGGGAAGGTTGACTGAAGCAAACTCTAGCAGGATTAGAAAAACTATGCTGTTTCAGCGGAAATGCAAGCGTTTGAATTTGGTGGTGGCAATTGCCACCGCCAGGGCCGAAAGGGTTAATGTTGATATGTATCTGATTCTTTTCGCAAATTTGAATATTCGATAATTTTAAAACTGTGAACAGTGCTTAGAAAACAGCGAATGAACAAAGGCAAGGTAATGGCGAAAAAAGAAATGCGAATAACGAAGCGAAATAGAGGGTGAAGAAACCCGAAACTGCCTTCAATTCTCCGCGTCGCCAAGTGAGGGGACGAATCCCCCTAGTCTCGACTAGGGGGATGTATCCCCTGCCTGCAGAGACGCAGAGGGTCGACGGCAGTGACCGTCCCGCACGGTTGCGTCACAGGAGCCACCGAAAAACGATGGGTCTTGCGACGAAGTAGGGGATATATCCCCAAGGTTGGGGATATGTCCCCAAGGTTGGGGATATATCCCCAAGGTTGGGGACATATCCCCAAGGTTGGGGATCCCTCCCCTCCCCAACGAGGGGAGGGATCCCCAAGGTTGGGGATATATCCCCAAGGTTGGGGATATATCCCCAAGGTTGGGGATATATCCCCAAGGTTGGGGATGTATCCCCAAGGTTGGGGATGTATCCCCAAGGTTGGGGATGTATCCCCAAGGTTGGGGATCCCTCCCCTAGTTGGGGCTTGCTGCACCCGGCCCCTGTTCGCAATCAAAGGGAAGCGAGTACGAGGAGCTCTAGGAAACGTTTCTGCGAGAGTGTGTGATAAGTCTAGAGAGTGGAATAAAAAGGAGTAGATCATCTCATTGCGTTAATGAAGAATTCCGAAACTGTGATAGATTCCTTAATTTTGTAGTGCCTTATTCAGATGCACGTACCTCTCAACGCTTTCTTCCATGCTTTGGACCGGCTGCCTTGGTCGTTCCTCTTCTTCACTTTCCTGCTTCTTGTGCTTGTGCTCTCGGTGTTTCGAAATCCGTGGTGTGGGTGTAGTGATACCCATAAGACGTTGGAATGACGGAGGCATCGTGAGCGAGGGGAGTGTAGGCATAGGAATCGTTGCGAATGTGGGCAGCGTCGGCATGGACATCATCGGAGGGAAAGTGACGAGTGGCAGACTCATCGGTATCATTGATGGCAGCGGAATAATGGGCACCGACAGCGGTGGCCTTATGGTCTTCGGCTGCTGAGGTCTAGGTGAAGAAGCAGCTGGGTGCGGAGCTCTCCTCACTCCAGTTGAAGTTCTTCTGAATCCATGCGCACGTGGAGCTGCATTATTTGGCTTGTAGACAGGTGCCCTGAATAAAAACTGGTCATACGTCGAAATTTCTTTTGCAATCAAGACGATGACGGGACTAATTTGATAGATTAAGATTAGAACAAACCTTCGGATCTCACTTTGCGCATCCGATCGTATCGCAGACGCTCTCGGAACCTCCTCAATACCATATACACAAAGGGCTGAAAGCAGGTGTTTTCTGAGTCATGGCGTTCACAGCGGTGATTCAAAAATGTTCGAGTATTTATTCTTAGGAAGTGGAAAGCATTCTCTGAAAATGTTATTTTTCCATCAAATTGATCGAATGGGAAGAAACGAACCAATGGCTAGAACGAGAAGTTGGAGGAAGACCTGCATGTGGGGTGACAGTGAAAGTCTGACCTGGATTTGCTATCAGCGCTCCGAAGAAAGGGACAATCAAACCGGAAGAGGACGGCTATCTAATTATAATGATACGTAGATAGCATACGAGACAATGGATCTGTAACCATGTCTGTCTCTAAAAAACTGAAAAAGGAGATAATTAGTCTATCTGATTAAAGGTTCACGAATCTTTAATCTCGGTGTAGCGACTATGTAGACACACTAGACTATATACGCTTGATATACTAAATCATGACAAGAGAGAAGGGGGCGGTAGGTGAGGAGGTCGGAGGGGGGTGATTGATGACCTCCCTCACAGCGATGAGGACACGACAAGTATTGGGTTGATTCATAATTATTGCGGCTTTTTCCAACAGATTTTATTCAGCGAAAACGGCAAAATTATGTCCCAGACCACATCCCTGATCATCTTCACCTTTAACCATGGGCGGACTTTTTTCGTGCCATCCGCTCTCGAAACTTACTACTTACTCTAACGGTGATGTTTCCAGATCAACATTGCACAACGAGATCGAAGGGCAGTGGCTGTGTCATAATATTCTTGGAATGCTGATTAATTAATTTATTCCTTGTAGAGTTGTTTAAAAGGAGTTGTTGCGTGTTCAAATCATATGTGATATATATTCTTCCATCATGTTTACTTGTGGTTATCTGTTCCCCAGCTTCGTTGTTGGAATAAAATAAGGGTTCATCAATGGATCGTTTTTACCTAGTGTTTATACTTCGTATTTTATAGGAATATAAATTATTCACCCTATGCCGCTGATTTCTATTTAATAAAACGTTTCTTCTAGAATCATGAGTAAACAGTGCCTTCCTGAACGGAAGAAAAGTGCTTAAAATTGCCTTTGACCCTCTCAACTTCCGACCAGGACGCAGTGATAGTGGGAGGGGATTGGATGAATGAATGGGTGAAGGGTATCCGAAGAAGGATGATGGGAGATACGGAAAGGGGTTGTTAAGGAGGTGATGGATGGAAATGGGGTGAAAATTGAAAAGTCGTAGAACTTATGCGATAGCGGTTTATTGAGTGTGGAATGAAGGCTTGAAGAGGGCTAAATGACAGAGAAGACCACGTCGGATTCAGAGCACTTGCTTTTTTCTGGAAAAACGGATGGGATCGCCTATTTTGGGACTGTTAAACATTACAAGATCTTGTCGTTACTACATAGTTGTCAAAAGTGTGGGTTGGATCCTTGCTTGATATCCATCGGAATGCGAACTGTTTCTCAGTAGAGAACCGATAGTGCTGAATTGCTATCGTAGACTTATTTTTCAGCACAATCGGCCACCTCAAGAAGAATATGCTCTTAACGATTGACCTACTGTACATTTAGATGCGTTTCTTACCTATGCAATAAACGTTCATGGGACGATGTTCAGTTCAGTCTTTTTGCTCCGTGAGACAATTTAATTCAAGAGAAATGAGGAACTTGTTTGCTGTAGACTAGTTCCTTTTTCTAGTATCATGGTAAGAGCAAGTGTTTTGAGAAGAAAAACGAGGTGGAGCCACCGCGTGTTGAGTAAGTTTTGTTTACAGATGCCTCTCCTGAATGGCACATAATACACGCCCGAAC